CTGGTACCAGCGTTACCTGGTAAGGCAGTTGAAAACCAAGCACCAGCTCCTTCCACTGCACACTGGGCAACCCTTCCCACCAAAAACTTTCCCATTCATCTTCCCATCTCACCCCACTCCTCTTCCCTATCATCCTCTTCTGTCTTCACCTGTGCAACCTGGGTTTTTGGTCATCTTTTTTTCCACCCACTCGCTCCTTCAATATTCGCTCTCTCACTCATCCAAGTTGGCCAGATCCTCCCTTTTTTCCTCTCCTCAAAAAGGTGATTCTGCTCCACCTTCACATGGAGTAATCGGAAATTTTGTTTTTTCTCAGAGAAACACAGCTCAAACAATTAGCAATCACCCAAGACTTCAATAAGAGTTCAAGTTAAACCTTTGAGAAATAGTCTTCCAATGGTATTCTGTTCCTCCTCTACCTTACATTAAAAGATCCTCCCTTGTTTTGCAATTACAAGCAAATTGGAAATAACGAATGAAAAATTTATTTTTGGTCTCAGTTGGAAATCCTGGACATTTCAGATAATTTTTTCTAAATCAGAACAAAAGATTAAACCTCTAAGGCTTCTAAGTCATATTCATTTCATAGCATTACACAATGGTAGTGTAAAATAGTAAATCAAAATCTCAAACATGAAACATCAGCTAAATTAGTTTAAAAAAACACGTAATAAAAATAAACAAAACAGTGTAACATTAATCAAAAGAAATGGCTATTATCAGAACAAAAACATTTTTTCATCGAAACACAAACATTCCCACAATGGATTTTTACCAAAACTGCATTTATCTTCTACCACTGTTTCGCAGGCAGAAAGACACTGTACCATTTTGAAAAGCTTCAAGGTACTATCCAGATTTCAGGGTACTCTAATCCACCCATAACACTACAGTCACTACACATTTAAGGTAAGTGTCCTTCACCTTGGTCAAATTCGCCCTTATCATGATAGACCTAACCACCTAAGCCAGCAGATCCCTGCACATACACACACTGATTTTTGTTTCTGGCGCTTAGGTCTTAATCCTCCCCATTTAGAGGGCTGAGCATGGTATTTACAAATAATCCATAGCAAGAAGTTTTAATCCACAACTTCCCACCTGCATCCGGTATTTCCTGGCTGCTGATTTGAAAACAAGGTATGCTGGAAATTTGTGGGCACAACTTTCTCCATGACTGAAACTGAAATTAAATACCTCTCAATGGGCATTTATTTTCTGTGAAAACTAACTCTTAATTTTATTATTTCATTGCAGAATTCAACTTTTATACTGCTTCCTAGCTATAGCAAACTAGGCATTTCTGAGAAAAGCCTCAATGCAAAATAGCATTTTAGGCTCTCTTTAGAGATTTTATTCACTCGTGACCAAATCAACCATATTTGAGTCAGAGATCCATCAGAATTAAGTCCCCTACTCCAAACGACCAAGAGGCTAGGTAATGGCTCCCTACCAGTTCCCCAAACACTCTCAGGCGTGCAGGTACTCTCTCCATGTACTCCAATGATGTTCTTTTACACAGAGGAGTCTACAGTTTGGGCAATAAATGACACTTGAACTAGAATCAGAAAAAGCTATCAGGTAACATAAGTTGCTTCATGACTCACTGAAGCCTTCTGGCTTCCTTCACAGAGACTGAAGCACAACAGACCACAGAGAAAATGACCAAACTCAATCTCTAAGCTCTGATAACAACAAAACAGCCATGGGGATTTCCAGCTAAGGAAAGAAGCCTAGAAGAGTTTCAGAGCTTGGCTGTCTCATGGTATTTTAATTAGATTGCTCTGGACCTCAAGTCACGCAGCAAGTCTCTGGAGCAAGCTGGTATACGGTTTTGACCTTTTTAGGTACTATCAATAGAATTCAACATCTCTTGCAAATGTGAATGAGTTGCTAGCCAGAATACAGATTTGATAAAAGATTTAAAGAAAAAGCCTCATAAGTTATTTGCAATAATTATGAAAAGTTTGTCAGTGAAGGTAGTAGCAATGTAAACAAGAACATCTTGGTAGTGGCCAACCCAGAAGACACACAAACACCATTTTTTAATACGACAATTAATACGTAGTGCTGTCTGTTTAGTATTAGTTCACACTGAACTACTGTCACCTAAATGGCACAATAAAGCAGCAATCATATATCCTATAACCACATACACTGATCTTCGGGATGGCCAGCTGTCCTTGGCCAGGTCAAAGCTCCGATTCCATCAATCTGGCTTATGGCAGTAATGCTTATTCAATGGAGATACAGAGTACATATGCTGGCAGTTCGTGTCTACAGGATCAGAGCCCAGAATTATTTTTATGAGAAGTATTTGACACATACTTACCTAGCCATATAAATAAAAATGGCACCCAGATTTTAAATGATGGACCAGAAATATAAGACTACAGTAGCTAAAGAGGCAATTTAGAACAACAGATATTATTATAGAAATTCCACTAATTCTGAAAAAAAAAAAGCTGTAGTACAGAATCTATGGTTTCAAGATGTAATTCCAGAAAAATACTAACTACAATCTGAATCTAATTTTATTTTCTATATTCAAATTTGGTTGAATACATGCTATGAGTATTGTCTATTAAAAAGCCTATACAACAATTTTCTAAATATCTCATTTGCAATTCTGCTCTGTCGTTGAAAATTTCTAGTACTGCAGGAGCTGTAGTACAGAATCTATGGTTTCAAGATGTAATTCCAGAAAAATACTAACTACAATCTGAATCTAATTTTATTTTCTATATTCAAATTTGGTTGAATACATGCTATGAGTATTGTCTATTAAAAAGCCTATACAACAATTTTCTAAATATCTCATTTGCAATTCTGCTCTGTCGTTGAAAATTTCTAGTACTGCAGCTGCAAAGGCTGCTAAATCTGCCTGGTTTTCTGACCATTTGCAGTTACACACAAAAATACTTGAGCTGCTGAATTCTTTCGGTCATATTTCTGCCAGATTACAGACACTTCTGCTCAGTCCCCCACCCCTTTCTCATTGTTGGGGCTTTAGGTTACGTAATACACTGTGATGTAACATATTAATATGCAATATAACCAGATGCCACAGAAAGTAAGATCTTGTCAGAGGTATGCAGCACTGCAAAGGATATTCTCTGGCTGCTGTTCGTTCTGTCGTCATGTGCCCATAGATTACACTATATGTTTGCTAAAAATATGAAGACTTTTTTTTAAAAAGATGCTTCACTAACACAACTATAATCTCTTCTGCTCTGCTTCTTTAATCCCTGAAGATCTTTTTAATAAGCCTCTCCCACAGCAACTGATTAAAATCCACATCTTTCGTATCTTTTGATTACAAGAAATAGCTCAAAGAGTAGTTCATATAAAGTGTTAGTAATTATGCTGAAACTGCATTTTAGCAGACTGTTTCCTTTGATTTATTTATTTCTGGATTCCATGAACGAACATAGTAGGCCATTACATTACAATATTTCAGCATCAACAGGAAATCACAGTCCAGTATATGATTTACTGCATGACAATTCTAGTATAGGAACAAAATAAGAAATCAGCTATATCGGTGTTATTAATTACAAAGGAAATTACCTTGGTACAATCTGAAATTCACTTAAAAGCATGAATATTTACTACTTATGATAGGTAAAACCATAACTCCCCCCATTTCAGGCCTTAGGTCAAAAAATAAACAATTCAAAGTTAAACTTAACATGAATCATCTGTATTTAGGAGTAGAATAAACTTCTCTGTGATGCAACATCTCAGCTTTCTGTTAAAGCATCTATTAAATGCTATTGTGGCTCTTTTGTATGACATAAGTCATTAGAAATTATTTTTTTTACTACATGCTTTTGCAGTCCCTGCTTCAGTTTAGAAAACTCCTGCAGTCGCACTGGCTGCAGAACGGAAACTGCCAGCCAGCAGCACAGCCAGAGGGCGCGGAGCAAGGGCTTCGCCCGTGCTCTGCTGAGACTTAGTAGGAGACTGTCTATGAATTAAAAGGACGAGGAAGGAATGAGCCCTCACGACAAGGAGTGATAACAAAGAAAAACCTAGCCCTTTGCTGTATCTATTATTTCCCAAGGCCTTCTGAAATCGCAATCTCCAAATAGAAGCTACGCACATAGGAGAAAGTTACCGAAGCCCAGAGTTACAAGTCCTCATGAAGTGCAAAATCACTGTCTTCTTCCAGAGGAAGATGAATACCACAGCCGACACTTAGTCCTGAATGGATGTTCTACCGAAACATCAGGGAGACGTGTCAGACAGAACTGAGAACATTCACTCAAAATGCATCATTTACCGTACAATTCTTCTGTATTAATAGCTATGGAAAAAGTACAAGAGAACAAGTTAACATCAGCAGCCTTTCCCTCTGTGGCCTTCCCCTTTGCTCCTTAAGCAGGTCCAACCTAGCTTCTCCCAGCGCTCCAGAAAAATGTCACCTTGATTGGCATCTTTAGGATGCCAATTCCTTGTGCAGCAAAACAAGCTTCATCAAATAGGTACAATTTAACATTAAACTGAAAAAGACTGAAAATTATAAACTGTAAATACATACAAAGTAAAGCAAGATCATAAGACATATTAGAGATTGTTAACTCAAACTTCCTTGGTTCAACAACTGAGGGATGAATCTCACAGTGGAATCCACCACTAATTATCTGAAACCTAACAGGAGCTTAATACGGTCCAGGCTGCTCTAACTTCCAGCATTACATGTCTTCCCTAGGATTGCCTGCACTCTAGCATAAATTAGTCTAATCCAAACAGTCTGCAGAGTGGGGACTTGTTTCCATTCTCTGGTTCCAAGGTAAACCCTTCAGCATTGTTAGGTAGGCAGTAGAGAGCAGTATTAACACAATTACACACACAACCCAGGGTTATCTGCAAAAAACCAAACCCTTGCAAATCAAGTAATGTTTTGGATGTCTGTGGGTAATCACGAGAGAAGTCTATCACGCAAACACCTCACTAATAGTTTCCCAATCTCTGACCCTCATTGTGAATTCTGTTGCCTTCTCTGACTTTGTGCAGGTTATCTGGCAATATCAAGAAAGGACTTTTAAAGCAGTTCAATTCACGCACATGAAAATGTCACTTCTTACCATGGTTTATAGCTCAATTTTTGATGAAAGAATAGGATTTTGAATAATTCTAACAACTCTGAATCTACACATTAATAACTCATGGCCAGGGCTGACTAACCAACCCTGTATGTCTCCAAAGAGAAGCTCTGCAGTACACAGCTGAAGCGTGGCTAGTCGTTTCTTACAACACAACCAGGAAAAAGGGCAAAGTGACCCCCATCTTGGTGACCTCGCCTCATAATTAAGAGAAGGGTAAATTCTATCAGACTCCTGGTAAACCTTTGTACAAAAAAACAAGTCAGGCCACCTGAAATTTAAATGACATTTTAAGCATTTGTAAAAATAATATGACTTTTCATGCTTAATCAAAACTGACAGATACTTTGACTGAATTCATTTGCTAATAGCTGATTTCAAAGTGATAAATCCGTGATCCAATTCACAAAGTGAGGTGATATTTGTGTCTTGTTATTACTTGTTGACCCACTGTACAAAGTATTTATGCACAGTTATCCGCATGATTGTTCCTGTTTAATACTTGACTTCTCTTCTGAGACTACCAATCAAGTTGTCAGGGTCGTGAGGTTTGTACAGGTGTCCTGTAAAAAACTAGCAAGCAGTATAAAATACCTACCACATTTCTTACAGCCACCTAACAGCTTATGAGGTGGTTAAAATTTGACTGATGTAATCAAATTGAAACCTATGACCTAGTGTGGAGGAGGTTCTCTATCTCATTAACAGTCCCCTGGAGCAGCTCCCTAGTAGAAAAACATTTTGCTTAGTGCCCTCTTTCTCAAATAGTTTTGTCACTGAGCAGGGTATTTCCATCAATATTATGTGAGGCTGAAATAACAACTCAGTGAGGGAGAAACCCAAAAGAAAACAAGGCCAAACTCAATGGGCCCTGCAAAACAGGCTGCACAGTTATTATGAATAAAATTCTCTACTAATGAGTTTCCAAGTCTCTATAAAATCCCAATATTTGGCAAAGAGCGTTCCATTTCGCATTTTAACATCCTCTGGCATAAACTGTCATGCTTTAATTAAACACAGAATGCAAATCACATCCCCAGGAGATGATGCCTCTAGCTGCTTCTCTTTCAATAAGCCAGTACGGAAATCAACCACGGCAGTAATGTAGCACAGAGACCAGGGCAACTGTGCACCTCGTGGGGCTGCGCTTCCCAAACGCCACTCTGAGGGGCAACTCCTGAAGAGTTATTGGAGACGTCGCTTAGAGCCAGGCTCCCTGTTGGCAGGCAGGAAGCCATCCGTCTCTGCTGTTGTCTTCCTGATCGGTAGGCTGCATTTGCTGGCAAACGCGAGACAGCTTGATTAGCTAGGCTAGTCTTACACGCATTTCATTGCCTTCAGCTCCAGGGAAAAAAAATCCGTACTCTGAGGCCTTGTCCACACTGCAGTTCCCCACAGGAAAGCCCCCACCAACCTTGGGAAACTACGGGAGCTATCCTACATAGTGCAAATAGCAGACAACACTTTGTTCATCTACCGTTTAAAACTACCCTTAGTAGACAACAGCATGTAAGAATTGCACTTCCATGTAAAGCCATTTTGTCTGGTGACTGACTACCTCTCTATCGGGAAGCTAAGAAAAACATAGACACAATGTGGAAACCAAAATCATGCTAGCAGAGAAAGATTGTGTACTTCCAAGTATCGTATCAAGATATTCAATACACCTTCATTTTCTCTCGCCCTCAAATCTACCAACTCCGGGAAGTCAGACATGTTTTCACAATAAATGAAAATTGAGGATGGGAATGGAACCAAAATTGTGTTTAGTTTATCGTACATGGGACCAACCAGAATTCTTCCAAGGCTACTTAAAAAAAAAATATATATAGCTAGATACAGCGTCCACATAGGCAAGATTTGTTATATACATCTTAGGAAAGTCTCTCTTCTGACAACAGCTAATTCAAATATCAGATTGTAAGTGTATAACACACTACACACAGTACTGGGAATCCACTGTTGAAGAGTCCCCTTTGACTTCAAAAGTGATTTCCGAGACCTAGGAACTCTGTACAACAGCAGGAAAAATCCTCAGGAGTCTTTCGCATGAAAAGTTCGTACAAGATGACTGACAGAGGTGTGAAAGGTACAACTCGTTCTACAGCTCACACCATAGAAAACAGATAGGCAGACAGAGGGTATGCATACATTTTAAAACATCTGAAGCACTGTATTCTAGCATGCATTTAGTCTTTGTATTAAAAAATGAAGCAAGGAAAACCCACTCCACATCCACATGCATCTTTCTAGACAGACTGCTATTCAGAATCAGTATTCTGTGCTGTAGAGCTACAACATACCTAACTCCCCTGTCATCATCAGGAATTATTTTTTTCCCCAAAATTATTTTTTAAATCCAGATTCTGTATTTAGCGTCCTGCATGAAGTACCTGAATGCACAAAACTTCATCTTTCTGCAAGATGCCTTTACATCTCTCAGGGGGTCAGTGCCATGAGGTAATTCAGCATTTCAGAATTTTTTCACAGGGCAGCAAGAGGAATATTTCACTCAGGCATCTGTGGCTGTGTGCGCCTTCCTTCGCACTGGGAAAAAGATTATACAGTTTAAGTAAAATACAGAAGAAAGACTCTATGTTTAGACAGGCGTGTCTATGAATGCTAAATAAGGGGGGATGCTCTGAAGCTGGTGAAGTTCTTGGAATTTCCACACTGGCCATACAGCATACATAACATCAGCCCAATATTAATGAGCCAGAATAAGGAGACTGGAGTGCCTACGTGTCAGAGCTTTCTTTAATGGCTAGGCAATAGAACTATTCCTCAGGTCAAGACTCTTTTCAGGCAAAGAATCAGCAAAAATTGAATGTATTGTGATGGATATATCCAGGCTCTGAATTGCTGTGATTCTAAGCAAATTATTACTTTTTAAATCACAGTGCAGTTAGCAATACTGGAAAATAGGCAAAGTTACTCTTCCAAATTAGAGCACTCATCACTGATGTGATTTTGGACAATCCTGAGCCTAAAGCTGTTGTGGATTTCAGTAAAACTGCAGATACTTTGCTCCTCAGGGCAGGGGGCGGGAGGATGACGGGACAGGACACAAAACAGCAGCAACTTCATCTAGAGACAATAGGTTTCAGAACCTCTCTGTGAATCCTTTGGCCTTATATAATAAGAATGAAAATCCCTTCGAGCCTTTCTTAGGTTTCTTTTTTCTTTCACCTTCACTGAGGTCTTATTTCCCTGCAAAGCAAAAGAACCATGAATTACCAGCAAACAAAAATATTTGCAAATGCTAATGTTCAGGCACTCCACTAGCAGAAACAAGCACGTACCTTCTCCAAGCATATCCAAAATCCCTTTTGGGTGGTTATCAACACAACTCCGCTCTAGTGAGTCATGAAAAGAGACCAGTTTCATTTGCAAAATGCAAATGCTGATTCCAAACAACGTGACTGTACTGACATTGTTACACACATGCACTACTTAGAGCAAATAATTGCTATTTCAATATTTAACTGGGATATAACTGGGATATTATACATTTGTTCATACAGGTTCTGATCTACCTTAGAATTTTCCTAGCCAAACCAAAGGATATCCTACACATGTGCATGCACTTTTTAAACAAATGTAATCTTTTTATTTTTAATTTATCATTATTTTACTGAAATAAAATACCCTACCTTATTCTGTTTAAATACTTAACACTACTTTGAGAGAAAACTAGAAAATGCATTAACGCTAAGTCAGTTCCTGGGGCTTTGTTTTATGCAATCCCTAGCTAAAATCCAAAAGAAAAAGCTGGCATGCTGCTTATTAAAGCCACTTACAGTTCAGTTCGTTTTCTCTAGGTGATGTATGTATTTATTCACATTGTGCTGTCACCTTATGGAGGCCTCGCTAGATAATCACTTAAATTTATCTCAGAATAACAACAAAAATAGTTCATGTTTTACTTTGGTTTTATGAGTTTACACACATGTTCCAAAGCAACAAAAAAGTCGTATTTTGAAGGGAAAAAAAAAATTTTCTTCCCCTCCAATTTGGCTCTTTTCCTACCTGCTTGCTCTTGCAAAATACTTAGCTTCTAATCAAAATAATGAAAGCAGGGCTTCTGTGCTCAGAGGTTTTCATTTGAATAAGCAAGGCAATTTCCATTTAAAATGTATGTTCTGTCATGCTTCCACAAAACAGAAGAGCGTCGTTTCTCATTTAATGCAGATGCCAAGTTATCCAAGTTCTTGTACCCCTCCAGAAAAATCATAAAACCATCTCAGCTTGCTCACTGCTCAGCACAGCTAGCTTCCTTGTCCGGCCTGAGGTTTGACTGCAAAGTTTAAATGCAAAGTCTGCCCAACTCCAGGTTTCTATATTCCTAAGTCTGACTTGGCATATGAATTTCCTGAGGTTGCTGCATCTCAGGTTCTTCCCTCACATTACTTTCCTCATACAGGGGTATTTATGACCCTAAAATTTGGTACACTTTGATATAGTGAGATAAAAGATGTGGAGTACTGTTCTTACAAAATCAAGCTATGCAACAGCCAGCTTTGTCAGTTGTGCAACATCTTCTCCACCCGCTCATCTTGTTGGAAGAAATAATGCAGATATTGAAGTGAAACTACAGATCAAAATTTCATGCTAAAATTAATTTTTTAAAAATATTCTTAGAAAACCTCTTCTTTAAACAGCATGAGCAACTTGGCAAAGAGTGATTAATAAGTCAGTTTGTTTCATGGTGTAAATCTTTAATTTCATTTGCTGCCCTTGTTACTCTGACCCTAGCAACAGTCCATAAATATTTAGGTAGCTTTCCACCAGCATGCTTTCAGCTTTTGAATACTAATGCTAGCTGTAGAGAAGAAGAAAAGGAATCGCTGTAATGGACCACGGAACTAGCTGTGAATATCTAACCTGCTGTTTGTAAGGCATCCTGTTTGCTGGAA